AACACCACACACACACTGACTAACACTTGTCCTTGGTACTGAACACCATCCGCACACTGGCTAACACATGTACTTGGTACTGACTACAATCAACACACTTGTCTAACACACCTGTCTTTAGTAGTAAACACAACCTACACAGTCTTACTTGTCCCTTGCTTTGTGCTAAGACCCATTCACACCTGTCCTTAACACACTGGCCAACAGTCCTGTGTTTGGTGCTCAACACGGCAAACAGAACTGCTATAAAACCACACCGATGTAGAACACAAATGAAAATACCTTTCGTTTGGTTTGAAAATCGTCCACATAAGGCGTGATCTTCCACTACCTGTGCTTGCCGCATGGTGGCGCTCACGATACAGTAGAATAGACCAGTTTACCTTTCAGCTTTAACAGAGAAGTTGGGATTTCTTCCGTGCTCAGTAGTAGGTAAGTTAGCTATAGTTTCATTGCGAGGAAAACGATACTAGTTTAGGACCTTTGCCGTAAGTAGCATGAAAAGAAAAAAGCCTTGCGGGGTTAAAAGAATTCAAGTTCTTAGGGTATTACTAACTTTTATGAGTATCACATTTATCTATCAGCACTGTAGAATATCTACTTTGCCCAATTTTTGGAGCCGACACAAACAAGTGATGAAATCGGTAACAAGTTACTCTCAGTCCTCTTAGCAACAGGGACGAACAAAGCATGGAAACTCAGGAAACTCAAGAGGTTTCCGCAGAGTATTTGAGAGACCGTGTGGTGTTCGAATGCGGATTCTTTGGGCATTTCCTGATAAAGACCATCGCAACGGGGAGGTTTGGCGACATCAAAAAGGCTCAACAGCCACCGGTCTATCGATGGAAAGCGTCCTATGGCCTAGTGAGAGAGACTGGACGGCAGAGTGCGTCTCCCCCCGATCTGGAAGACGTGAGGGACCCGGATGGATATGTGGACTCGGAAAGTGCTAGTAGGTATATCTTGGCAACCGTGCATACATCTGGCAAAGACCATGAGACGTGTCAAAAAGATACGTTTGAACTTAAAATTGAAATTAAAAAGAAACTTAGACTTTGAAGATGAACTGAACTTTAGCCTTGATTAGCGTGTAATGTGAAAATGTCTTGAAACAAGTGCATTATATGACGTCGTTTACTAGTGAAACAAAAGAAACTTGATAAACCTTCAGTTTTCAAAAAAGATCAGAATGTCTTTCGTCTGTAAGTATCAGGCTGTTATGTCACATCTGAGTGATGTCGTTGTGGTGATGGGGGGGGAATGCCAGTTTCATTATAACGGTCCGCTTGTCCATGGCCATGTCCATATGTCCATGACGGGTCGATCCATATTGCAGAGAGGACAACTATAGATCAACGTTGAGAAAACATTTATACATTGTCAATAACATTTATAATTGGTAGTAACGTACGGAAGGGATTTGTCAGTTCCTCTCGTGAAGTTCCCGGTTCCTTTCTCAGAACCCCTAGACTAAAATAAAATCTCTACCAGACCGTTTTCTGGTGATGGAAAAAAATCACACGTGATATCAGGAAGATATTGAGTTGGCTTGACTTCCATCGCGAAAATCATCCTAAGATTTCCAATACATGTAGCAATCTGTGGTGCTGACTACCCTTCACGCGTGCCACTTTACACTTGCCAAATATTTCCACCAATGGGGAGCACTGTGGTGAAAAGTGCCCACTTCCGGTTGGAGAAAGTCCTTGCCAATAGACGAAACATAGCGGTTAGTTTTAACATCAGACGATTCTGCAAATTGGAGCCAGTTCACGATGTCTCACACTTTTGTGGTTGGCACTGGTTTTCGGTCACTGTGAGGACAAGGTGATAATTTCCGTATCACAAACTGATGTGATTCTTCCAAATTGTAACAGAGGCACATACATGCAGGTTGAAAACCTTCAAGTTGTTATTTCCTTCCCACTTCAAAGTGCAAGCGTCCGGGCTACATGATTGTGCTGCCACGGAAACATAAAATATCAAAAGCCTCGGTCGACGAAAACTTGGACTTGTTGAAACCTCACGATTGTGTCTTTGGTTATCACAAGGACGTTTTTCGTTATCAACATTATCAAGGAAGTGGGCGGAAACAAGTCATATTGCGTCATTACATTGTGTGCATGGGTGGGTAGTTCGTTACCATGGCAACGCACGCAGTAATTAAGTGGTAAATCGTTGTATCTACAGTCAATATACGTGACATATAGTAATCAGACTGGGGATTTCGTGTTAAACGCTATCCGGTTACAAGACTTTTCAAAGCGTAACTGCTAGTCCCACGGAGCGCTGCGTCATCATCACGGCGAATCGTGCAGCGTTGAATGACGTCTTAACTTCTGTCTCCTGCCTTTGGTTTTACGTGAGTGACGCTAGGCAGTGCACAGTGGTTGCCTGGTGCGGGGATCGCTTCCCCTCGCTTTTACCCGCCTAGTTCGTTCCCTGTTGTCTTCTCAGTCGCGCGGAAGCTTCTTCGAGGCGAAATGAGCGAGGCAGGGGCGGCAGTTGGCGCGGCGGAGGGAGGCCAGGCCTGGGAAGGGGTTCCATCTGGAACGGCATCGGCAGCACAGGAGGAGGGGCACAACGCAGAAGTGCTCATCGTACCTGACAAGGTATGCACATTTTGTTATGCTTCTCACTCGGGCGTCGTCACAAAATGATTGCATACCTTCCCTGCACAATTCACCAATGAGTGGAAGGTTTCTTTGTAGTGCAGGCTTTAAGTCGCCTGTCGTCACAGACTGACGCAAACACTAACGACAGTAGGACGTCCTTCATCTTGTATGGACGTCATCACTGTGGTGGTGGGGGGGGGGGCATGAATAACTATGATTAAAACCTGTTGTACAACAGTGGGAAATTGGTTCAAATTGTTCAAATGAAATTAGTAAGAAGCTCCCAGACCAGTGAATCAAAAAGCAAGGATGGAATATGTAAAATGCATTGAACCACTGACTACATGATATTGCAGCTTTGTAGTGATGTTACATTTTAACAAGGAGCTTCAGTAGAAGCTCCTTGATTTTAAGTGCAAACATATTTTATGTTTAGAAAACTGTACAATGTACGTTCATCATATGTTACGTGTAAATGTTGACATGTTCACAGTGGTTTTAATTTTATGGTTTTCATGGTGATCTCATGTCTTTATTAATACCAGGAAGTTGCGTAACGTTACAGACTATTTGCTCTACAGAATTGTTTTGGCCTGGCTATATAGAGCATCAATTTGATCAAACATCATTAAAACCACCTTTCCTGTCCTACCCCAACATTAAGTCCCTCTGAAAATAAATGAATTTACAGTACGGGACAGGTGTATATTCTGACTCAGATTCTTGTCAGTTCAGAAAGTATCTCACTGGGCTCAAAATAGTTTTCTACACATGTGCAGGCCTAGGCAAAATTCTACATTACACTTTGGTGACAAGTTTTACTTGAGTAACTCAGTCATTGTTATCCACTATCCATATTTTGATGGGTGTCCTATCCTTGTTTTGTAAGCTGTGTGGAACAGGAACTGGATACAACTTATTACAAGTCTCAAATGGCATATGGTATCATGGTATGGCAAGTTTTGGCTGTCCGTAGGGCATAACCTTACTTAATGTCATATTCCTGAGATTAAACCATTCTGGAAAAACATGTTGGTCATGGTAATTTTGGTCCAGTCTACTAGTGTGCTGAGTGAATAGTGTATATGATGTCAGTTCCACCTTGTTTCAACATGAGAGTACAGTTACTGCTCACCAGCTGTTAGTGGTGTTTACACTCAGCAAACTCCTTTTGCTGACAAATTAAACATGTGACGTGTGGGATACCAGGTAGGGCAATATCTGTGTGATATTGCAACATCATTTATATGGCACACCTGGCACTCTACTTATTTCTACATGTGTGACATCTTCAGGTCTTCAGGGTGAAACTGTCTATAGTATGTACACTGTACTTTCACACTCACAGGTAACGTTTAATCTTGGGGTTGACCTCTCTCTCTTAGGTAAAGACGTGAGCCAGTCTTTGACCTGCAGGTTCTGACTTTCCTACTAGATGGTGCTTTTGTACCATTTTTATACAGAATCCTTTGACAAAGGCAAGATGAAAAACCCACATACTTCACTTAGAAGTGTTACCAAATTAGGTTGAACAGTGATATGGTAAGTAGACAAACAGTAAACCCTGAAGCTGATAGTCTGTTCTGCATGTAGGGCTGGTTGTGTTACATGCCAAATGTTCAGCCATATGTCCGTACGTATTCATGGAGTGTTCAAAGAAGTGTAGCATACCTGTGAGTATTATGGAATGTGTGAGTATTTAATTGTCATGTTTTCAATTTGAAAGCAATTTCCAAGAACTGAATTCAAAGTGATTGGAGCTGGTGATTGGTGTGCAAATCTGTCTCATTTTTATGGTTCCCTGCTTGTTGGTTATGATATGTACACGCTATATTAATGTGTAGAAAAAAGTTAACATGTTGCCAGTCTTGTAAGTCTTAAGGTTAGACAGAGGTACATGATTTTTGGTGTTCTCGAGCCCTCAAACATATCTATAGGCTGTCCTTTTTTTCTCTCAGGAATTCTACCATATCTTAATGTTTAACATACTTGTAGTCCTTGAGATTGAGTTACTACCTTCTGTGTTTCAGGCACAGCTGGCTGTACACATTCTGCAGGAGTACGATGGAAATGAAGCGGACACAGGAAGTGTAGATTCCCGGGATGTGAGTCCCTTTGTCAGTCCCAGGGTCTCGCGGGACCCCAGCCCCGAATCCCACCCAGAGGGAGGCGAGTGGACCCCACCAGACGACGAACTCAAAGACAAGATCATCAAGCAGGTCGAGTTCTATTTCTCCGATGCCAACATCTTGAAGGATGCTTTCCTTTTGAAACACGTGCGGCGGAACAAGGAGGGACTGGTCAACATCAAGCTCATCACATCGTTCCGCAAAGTGAAGTCGTTAACCAAGGACTGGAGAGCCGTAGCCTACAGCCTCAAGCAAGCAGAAAGCCTTAGACTAAACGAAGAAGGGACAAAGGTGGGTCGTAAGGAGCCTCTACCAGATTATGACGAGACTACTCCCTCTAGAACAATCGTGGCAATGAACCTTGGTGTTGAAAACCCCACCATAGAAAAAGTCAGTGCAATGTTCTCACACTGCGGGGAAATCGCCTTGATCAGAATTATACGGCCAGGAGGAGTGATCCCACAGGACGTGCGGAAGCACATGTCCCGCCATCCCGAGCTGGGTAACAACGTGTGTGCCGTGGTCGAGTTCGAGAAACACGAGAGTGCCCAGATGGCGGTGGACATGATGAGCGCAAAGAACGACTGGAGAAAGGGGATGCACGTCGCTCTTCTTGCACCTTGTGGTAAGAAGAAGGACAAGAAAGAACGACAAGACGCAGAGCGGAGGGGGAAGGAAGACACCCACAGTGAGGGGGAAGGAGACAAAGCCAAGAAGGACAAACAGAAGAAGAAGAAACGCCGCAGTCGGGTAGAAGAGCTGGCCCATGGAGATGAGCCCGCAGTGTACAGCAGTGGGTCGTCTGATGTAGAAGTAGACGGCGTGTCGCCCTCCCCACCCCAACGCAGCCAACACAAACTGAGCCCTTCTTCCTACGCCCATGCCTTGGACCCCAATCGCCTCAGCCCGGGAAGTTCCCCGAGAAGCAGCCCTGCCAACAGCCCCAGAAACAGCCCGCGGATGCAGCGGAAGGGTCGTGGCAGCGGAGTCTCCCCTCTCGCCTCTTCTCCAAAGAACAGCCCCCGTCCCAGTCCCATGACGAGCCCCGAGATGCGACGTAAGCGTGTTGACGCAGCGGCTGCCGGGGACTGGGATCCCGGGGCCTCCCACAGTCCCTGGGTGCAGCGAAGGTGAGCAGGCAGATATCTTCATCATGTACTAGTGCATATCAAAAGCATGTTTTTATATGTGATTTATTAACAGAGGACTGGTTTTCTTTGAACTCAGGAAACAGTTGAGTATTACAAAAATATTTGGAGAAGCAGTACTAACATTACTTTTCTTGAATTCTCAGACTGCTTGCTGCTCAAGAGGCAGCGCGAATGTCGGACAACAGCCCCGGCACTAGCCCACTGCTACCACGCAAGCGGACGGACAGCAACACGTCCCTGGGACTGCGGCCCCGGACAGACAGCAACGCTTCCACCGGCAGCGCAGGAGGAGGGCCGCACATGGTGCTGATTCGCCAACCACGAGCACCGGACGGCTCCGGAGGGTTCCATCCCGGAGTAGGGAGGCGCAAGCCACTACAGGAAAATACCACCTAGACTAGAGAATGGAACAATCTTCTTCCCACAGTGGATTGAAACATACAGGCACTTGATGTGTGAATGAGGTCTGTGGTGTTTGTGCTACACAGTGTATTTCCCCATGCTCTGCATGTACACTTAAGTAACCCCCATTGATTTACATGGCAAGATTTTGGATTGAACATTTCTATACACAAATTATCATTTTATAAAAAAAAGGTTTCATTTGTATTGTTTCATGGTAACTTTGCTGTTTGTTGCAGATACCTAAAGAGAGAAATGATGATGTTGTCACCAAATTGCCTTACAATTTTCATGCACATGTATTTTGTGTTCTTCAGAGCCACATTGCTTAATGATCTACTAGTACTTTGAGAGTTGTGAAAGTAATATTGAAAAGGCCATCATCCTTTTAAGTTTTTTTGTTTTCTCTTCAGTTCTTAATAATATTTGTGAAATCAAATTTAGAGCATTAAGAACCTTTTAATTTAACCTTTCATTTTATGTTAAACAGTAATGATCAGGTACCCTTATTTACATTTAATTTTTGGGTTCACATTTTTATGTTTTGTTATCTGGTATGCCAATAAGTTTCTTTAAGTTAGATTTTAGTATCACTAGACTGCATTAATAATTGTTTGTTTTATGTAACAATTTAATTTCCTTTCTAACTGGTAAGATACCGTTCCGGTATTTTTTGGATATACAATTATGTTACACTTATAAAAAAAATGATAAAACAGAAATGAAAGGCAGGCTGAGGAAGAAACTTACAAAGAGATCGTTTAATGATCATGGGATATGATATTTTGTTCATTTTAGAAGATTGTAAAATCTGTTGCTTTGGAGCATGAAGTGATGAAGAGCAATTATGAATTATGGATTGTAATCAATTAAGGTTATTTGTGAAAATACAAGGTTTCTGGCTAAATTATTGATCAGGCAATTTCTGTTCCCAGTGTTTAATTACACAATGAAAACTTAACCCATGATTGCCCCCGAAATAGCCTGAATACACCATGCTTCTAGCAGTAATTTTACTGGTCAGCCAATCAGCCCCAAACAGTGGGAGATGGCTTAGCACAGGCTAACCCCCAAAATATCTGATATAAGCCTTTCTGATATTTTTTAAGGCTTTGTTTTAATTGAAAATCTCTACAGATGTTGTATTCATATTATTCATGTTATATTTATCCCAAGTGGATAGTGGGCTATGCAGAAGATGTGGTACAGAGGGAGGTAGAGAGCCAATCCTTATTTGATTCAAAATCTCTACAATACATATGATATAACATAGAGTTTGTCAGTTTTCAGAATATACTCCTGGAAACACTTTCTAAGTTATTGCTGGCCTTTCAGTATGAGATGATAGTTTCAGCTATATTTTAACCCTCTCACTGCCAAAGTAGCCATTCAACACCAACTTTGTACTGGTTACAGGGAGAAGGTAGGATAAGTCATCTAAGCAAACATAATATCATGCAACTGGACAAACAACATGCAAGAAAGAAAGGGTAATGAAGAATCACAGAAAATTGCTTTGTTAGCAGTGATAGTGTTTGCTTGTACATTTAATCTATAAGATCTATATCACCAACTACTGTGAAAATATTACTGTTTCAGTTCTACAGAAATATTGTTCATATGGGGCAGATTCAGAGCGCAATGTAAATTCCACAGGTCCAAAAGTTTTTTCACACATCACATATTCAATGTCCACATTGTATAGTCGTAACTGAAAAGAATGCAATATTTTGATGTGTAAAAGATTCATATAAGAAAATGTAGCAAAAAAAGCATCGAAAATGTAGTTTTATGTCAACCAGTGGCATGTGTATCTGGTGTCCTTTGTATGGAACTCTATTTTGTCAAGCATAAACATCGTGTAGAGAAATGTGGAAGTATATTTGTAATTGTAACAGGCTAGAAAAGACTATAACTACAAAAATGTATCTGAATTAGTGAAACCAGGGAGGTGTACAAAAAAGAGCACCGAAAGAAATTGTCATTCAGCATTTTGGCCTCATAGTAGTATGCTACATGTATACATGCCAGTCTTTGCCAACACTCGCTCCCATGTAAATTGTCCCAGACTGCAGTACACACAAGAAACATACTTAAAACATCAGAGCAATTCATGAAGAACTGAGGAGAGACTGAGGAACTGATCATTGAGCTAAGTAGAAAGAAGTGCACAGTACTCTGTACATTGCACTCAGGGATGTATGAGTATTTAATACGGGAGCCAAGTAGCAGCATGCTTAAGCCTTTGATGACAACCAACCTGCAATGTTTTGCAGCTCTTGGCTATTTGGGGAATTTGTGTGAAAAGGTAGCCTATTTTTCCAAATCTACATCGCTTTGCAAAAACAATGACTGTAATTGTACAATAAGTGGATTCATGGTTCCAACTGCACATAATATTGTTTATAATAATTTGTCAGAGTTTAAGGCCCCTGAGACATAAACAAAACATCTCTGGACATGTATGTGGCATTTACATATTGAGCTCGCTTATAATTGGGCAGGTTATTTATGGGGAAATGTGTAAACCTTTGAGACTCAAGTTTGTGTGTGTAGGAATAATGGAAGAAACCCAGCCATCTCCCATGTTAGAATCTATGAGGTAATATAGTTCTAGCAAATAGAGGGAACGAGGCAATCTGATCCAACCATTACTGGTAAGTTTGTGATGAAACAATACAGGAATTTCCTCCATTAAATGTGTGCTCTTATTGTATTTTCTGGAGTCAAAATGGACAAATATATTGTCTTCAAAATATTGACAATGTGGTTAAACCATGGTTTAAGAAACTAACTTAAAAACTGATGTACAGAAAGATGTGATATTTCCAGAGTGCAGAACTATTTAGCACATTGCCCTCGGAAATGTCAGGAAAACAATCTGCATATCAAAGGAGCAGGTCAATATCACCAAGTTTGTTACCTCCTGATTCCAAGTGTCCACATCAGATGGAGCACAGTAACTTGATGATAGGAAAAGGATATAAGACATGTTCTATTTCATTACCAGTGTTATGCTTTATATTTCGTGTTCACTGCAATAGCAGTGTTGCCAAAAAAAATTATTGATGGGTCAAAGAACATCATATGATAACTGTAATCCTGTGGCTTGTTCTTGGCTCACACCCTGTCCAACTGTCATGTCACTGCCTGGTGTAACAGATACCGGTAATTGTCTTTTCTGACTCATATATCAATACACTACTGATCAACTGTATATGTGTTTGGTCTCTTTTAATGTGTACCACAGACTTTTCTTTGCTACATTGCAAAGAAATTATACAGGCACCCTGAGGTGGTGTCAAGAAATGAGGACATTTTACCAGAAGCTTAGTTGTGCAGACAAATGAAAAATATATATCTTGTGACAGCGAATGTTCTAGCCAAAAGTCAAGGTCATATCAAGTAGTTTATCTCTTCAGATTTAATTTTTTATCTAATTTATGGCATTGTTGCAAAGTTATGGCATGAACTTTGCCACCAGAATTGTACCATAATCACTCCATCAAGGAACTCAATAAAACCACACAGCATGATGTCCATGGTGATGTTTTTTTTCAAACCTAGAGAGGCAAAGGTTTGCAAAGAAATTTCTCTCAATATGTAGTAATTTCTAAAGAATTCTTGCCATTGCTTCACTGCCTTCACAAGTAAATGGTATCTATTGTAGGATTTAGAGTCACAGTCCATGGGTACATCCCACTGGACTCTTAAACAAACTCCTTTCACTTCCCTAGTTGCTTTGTTGAAAATTTTATGACCTTCTACAGATACAAAGACAACTTTTCCTCACTGCTCCCCTAAACACTGGTCATGAAACAAAAATGCATCTTGTATACTGTACAAGTAGAGCTGTGTACCTTACCAATCTTAGGTGCAGGCACACAGGTTTAGTCTTTTGTTTTAGGGGCACATTAGATACAAAATAAAGCTGCATTGTGTATCAAAAAGCAGGTTGATCAACTGACTAAAAAGGACTACTCGTATTTCCTGGCAGGTGGTGCTTGGACTGAGAACTTTTTCCCTTTCCGCCTCGCGTTGTCTGCCCAAATGTTCTCCTTACGGAGTCTCTTGAAATATTTCTTCGTGCCAGGTTCAAGGTCATCCAATGTGGCTGCAGGCCCCAAATGCAACTTCCACAGCCAATCTGGGTACTCTTCATCTGGTCTGAGGGGAGGATCACTGCCATCCTGATGGGGAGGAAAGGAAAATTTTCATGTATTTAAATGTGCAGTGTGTCAAAATTAATTACTCTGACAAAATTATAGCATTACACGTATCTTATTAAAACATGAAGTAGCTAGTATTCTGTCTTTCCAACCTCCAGTTACATGTACATAAATTCTACCACCTTTGAACTCTAGTCACTCCGGTCTACAGTATGTACCATCCCCCCTCATCAACTGCAGAATCACAAGCAAACACGCAGATGGACACATTATGGGAACAAAACCTTACACAAAAGTCTGATTACCTTGTATATGTTGGCTCCACAGCATTGTGTAGTGAGAACAGCGGGGTCGGTCTCAATACTCGGACCCTTCGGCTTTTCACTGGTGAGGTCTTTAGCCCCCTTAAAAGCCGGAACTGGAAACAAGACATTCTAAGGTGAATTATATTTCATGTTTATATATATGCAATGTCTTGCAGGGTTCATATTAGCCGTGGCGACTCTTGACTCGGGCTTACATTGCATTACCCTCAGCAAGAGTCGTGGAAAGATCCATTGGCAGAACTGCACATTTCCCGTTGGCTGCTCGATGCTCCGTTTTTGACCCGGTTTTTTGCTGTCCCGAGCTTCCCTACAATATAACTCCACAATTGGCCGGGTTGCCGATGTTCAGATCGGCCTAAATATTCCACAGCGCGACGGGAAAGTACTAAAATAGCTAGTCGGTACATCCGCGCCGCCATCTTGGATATAGTCGGGAATGTCCGCTACCGCCGTCGGGAACGCTCGGTAGCGCCACGATTACCGAAGCGGGACCGAAAACTCTCCGATCATAACCGGAAAGCCTACTTTCCCGTCGCGCTGTGGAATATTTAGGCCGATCTGAACATCGGCAACCCGGCCAATTGTGGAGTTATATTGTAGGGAAGCTCGGGACAGCAAAAAACCGGGTCAAAAACGGAGCATCGAGCAGCCAACGGGAAATGTGCAGTTCTGCCAATGGATCTTTCCACGACTCTTGCTGAGGGTAATGCAATGTAAGCCCGAGTCAAGAGTCGCCACGGCTAGGTTCATATGTTACATAAAAAATGCATGTTTACCACTGCATACTAGTCATTACTTAGTAAAGGGTACGCATTTTGGTCCGCCAAATCTTTAACATGATGCTGTCCAACGGTTGTCACATCAGGACAGTGTCAAAGTAAATAAAAACAGGTGAATTCGTAAAAATCTGCCATGTACAATATTTCTGCCCCCCTCCCCTCCTTTGCTTCTGGTCGCGTATTATAGTCGTTAAACAAACTATGATACACAATTTATTCCTCTAAAACTTAACCTATCAGACATATTACCTTTGGCTTTTGCGTAGTTGGCGACTTGCACGTTAACACACCCCAGAATTCTGTGACAAATCTGTGGACAAGTTCGGCGAGTCAAAAATCTCATGGGCGCTGCCATCTTGGATGTCAGTCTTTGGGTCTGTCTGTAGCACTAGGATTATGTGCCTTAATTATTCAGCAACAATATCATATCTAAAAATTGGGCTGTGAATAAAATAAAGGTATATACACATACGGACGTGGCAGAAACGTTTATTTAAACAAATACCGTTACAGATTTTGATAAGATATATTTCTTTTTACCACTATTAATCAGGCACTACTTATATTGCAAGCCTTGGTTCAGCCATTTCAAATCAGACTGTGGGTTCTGGAGTTCTGTTGTTTTGTTTGGTGAGCAAGCTGTAACTTTAGTTTAAGGAACATTTCATTAGACTTTTATTGTCATTTCCTTGACAAACTACATTGCATTAGTATCGTGATACACATGGTCAAGTAGACTGACTATTGCTTGTTGTCTTGCTAGATTCTCCATGGATCCAAGACTTTCCAAGGTTCAGTCTGTGTAGACTTGCCTTTTTGTTAATGTGCTGTAACCAAAATAACAGTAAATATTTGTTTTTTTTTAAGGATGATGCCATTGATCAGCATGGGCTGACCTGACCAATAAAAGATGTCCAGTACGCTGATGGTGGTCAAGTCTGACCCGAGGGACGCTGGATCTCAGCGCTGTCGCCTCGGACCACAGCTCATGGTGAAGCTCGGCCTCAACATGGGCGATCACGTCAAGGTGTCCCTCGCACAGGCAGAACTGCTGTGTAAGGCCTGGCCTCGGCAGGACCTGGCCGAGGGAATTCTCCAAGCAGATCGCTTCGTCTACAAAGAAGTTGATAAAAGAAATGTAGCAGAAAAGTTTGTTGAGGAAACCTGTGTAGAAAAGGTGGAAGTTGGAAAACTGATACAGGCTGATGTAGCAGTTGTTGTAGCTGGTGGTTTGAAAAATGCCGTAGTTAAAGACAAGTCATTACTTGGTCTATACATCGGTCAAAAACTTTTAAATGTTGCTGTTTTCAGAGACTGCACGGTATCATATGCAAATAGGTCTTTCTTGGACAATATTGCCTATGTCTTGGTGAAGGATGTCAAATGTGCAGATTGCAAACAGGATGCTGGTTATGTGACAAAGAAAACAGAATTTAACGTTCTAGAAGTGATCAGGTTAGAACAATATAACCAGCGTCAGCAGTCGTCAGACATCGCTCTCGGTGCGCTCCATCGCCAGGCCTCGGTGATAAAAGAAGCGATCAGCCTCCCTCTGATGTACCCACAGACTTTCAACAAACTCTGCATCAATCGACCAATGGGAATCCTCCTGCTCGGCCCACCTGGAGTTGGCAAAACCTCATTGGTCAAGACAGTGGTAGCAGAATGCCACGCCCACCTGGTGGCATTAAACGGACCAGATGTCTTTGGGCCACACCCGGGAGAAAGTGAAGAGAACCTGAGGAGGATTTTTCAAGAAGCTGTCACAATATCAGAAGAGGGGCCCTGTGTCTTGTTCATAGATGAGTTGGATGCCTTGTGTCCAAAACGAGGCGGCTCAGGAAAAAATCAAGAGAACAGGTGTGAGGGTCTATTGTTTTCATTTCTAACTCAATTCTGCATGCAATCTTGGATGTACCAACAGATGAAATAATCTGTTATGCTTTCATCATTATGACTGCAATGTAAAACTTGAAAGTGACTGTCATTGAGAAAAATGATGAAAGTGATTTTCTGTTTTTCCAAGTTAAATTGATGTCTTCTTTGATTTGTTTCCCAGAATGGTTGCACAGATGCTGACTCTGATGGACGGCTATGCCGGGCGGGGCAGGCTGGTCGTGATCGCGGCAACCAACCGGCCCAACGCCATCGACCCTGCCCTCAGGAGACCTGGCAGGTTTGACAAAGAGGTGAGCAGACATGGATCAATGTCCAGTCATTAAGGTGCTTGTTTGGATTTTCATTTTTTCTGTGACTAGGAAGCTTCAGTCAGTTTATCAAACTTTCTACAGTGTTCCAAACAAGGAAAACAGTTGTAGTACCATTTGAGATTTCCAAAGTGTGCACATAAAGTGGGAAATGTAAATGAGAATGTTTCCACCACCAGGTACACGTAGGTGTCCCCAATCAGCAGGATCGTCTAGAGATCCTCCAGGTGGTGAGCAGGGACATGTCCCTCGCAGAGGACGTTGACCTCAGCAGGCTGGCAGAGATGACTCCAGGCTATACAGGTGCTGACCTGACAGCTGTCTGCCACCTGGCAGCCTACAGCTTACTGAGCAGGAGCCATGCACAGACACAGGATAAGATACCGGTAATTAGAATGAAAACACATCTGTGTTGGTAGCAGACATATCAAAAGTTTCTCAAGTTACATGTACCTTACCATTGTGCCATATCAAGTTAAAAACTTTTAATTAGATGCCTTAAAATTCTTTTACTGACTTTTGAGTTTGTGGTTCATGTACAAATGTATAACAGTTGGATTCCCCATGTTTCCTTAGACACAGATCAGTATGGCGGCTCTTCGCAAAGCGCTGACCGAGATCCGACCCTCGGCCCTGAAAGGCTTTGACGGGACCACAGAGGTCAGCCCTGTGGACTGGTCTGCCATTGGTGGACTGGAGGAGGTGAAGGTCAAACTACAGCAGGTGAGGTCACTCAGACAGAAGCTGGTATCTCCTGACAATTTCCCCCAGCAGAAGGAAAGATGTGAGGTTACATGTATGTCAGAATCATGTGTAAATCAGCTGAACCCCTGGCTTCCTGTATTCTACAGGCAGTGGTGTGGCCTCTCCTACACAGTGAAGCCTTCTCTAGACTGGGACTACCTCGTCCCAAAGGCGTGCTACTGTACGGCCCTCCAGGCTGCTGTAAGACGACGCTGGTACGGGCAGTGGCAGGCGCCTGTCATGCCACGTTCCTCGCCGTCAGCGGAGCCCAGGTGTATTCACCATTTTTGGGGGAGTCTGAGAAGACGATAAGTCAGGTGGGACATCTCGTTCTTTCTTTAAAGCTGAGTTTTGGGTAAAGTTGGCTTGATATTGTAATTAGATGAAGACAAGAAGGGAAAGTAAAATGGACACCAGGGAAATCTATTCTTAGGAAAAGAAAGAAATGTACAGGGAACTAAAAGGAGCAAGTGTTTCCCCATGTTGTGATAATGCCACTGTTGACACCTTGACTATCCATGTGACATTTATGTCATAGTTACAGCAGAGTACAATGTCAGGGCTTGAAATACTGAGTGCATGTGACCTTAGTGCACCCAATTTTTTTTCTTTTTTTGTTTCTAACAGGTCTTCCAGCGTGCCCGGGCTGCGGCTCCTACCATCATCTTCCTGGATGAGATAGACTCGCTGGTGGGTAAGCGCGGAGAGGGCGTCCAGAGTGGGGTACAGGAGCGCGTCCTCTCCACGCTGCTGAACGAGATGGACGGGGTGGGCGTGGAGATTTCAAGGTCAGGCGGCTCTGCAAAGGTCGCAGAGGGGTCAAGTTGTGACGGTCAGCTAGAGGAGAAGGTAAGACTGAATATTTGAGTTGTACACAGGACAAAATTACTTGAGGGTCTTTCCATAGCCTAGTTCCATATGATTCATGTATAACTACAAATGTATAAGGGTTAGGGTTAACTGGTTGTTACCACTTGGCCTTAATACATAATGATTGCATGTGTTGCTGCACAGTAGTTTAAGGCCTGGTAATGTAGTATAGGTTAGTCCTTTAACAGTCTTTTTGACCCCTGGCCAGACTGTTCCAGTAACAAACAACAACGTCCTGGTGGTGGCAGCGACCAACCGTCCTGACCTGCTGGACCCCGCCCTGCTGCGTCCTGGTCGTGTGGACAGGACCATCTACGTACCACCTCCTGACTCTACAGTATGTCTGTCTCTTTAATAGTCGTGATGTTTTAGGAAAGGTTGAAAGTTTGATTCCAAGTAATTCATCACATCTGGCACAAGTGTTTCCATTAATCATAGACTAATATTCTTAATGAGTATGAAAGCAATTTTACCTATTGAGCAACTGTTGTAGATTGCATTGCAAAGTAGGTGGAAATGCTTTTTAACCGCTGTATTACTCCATTACTTTTCTTTTTCCAGTATCTGGAATGACATATTTGAGTAGCACTAGATTAGACAAAAACACATTGTATTCCTGTCCCTGCCCTCCAGGCTAGAGCAGAGATCCTGCGTGTCCACAGCAGGAAGATGCCGCTGGCACAGGATGTGGACATACAGGAGCTGGCAGACAGGACCAACATGTACTCTGGTGCAGACCTGGAGAACCTGTGCAGGGAGGTAAGCTCACACACAGGGAGGAGTCTATAACTCTGTCCTTCCCAAGATGTCCCATTTGTATCCGTTACCAGTAATGCTACCAAGAGATGATCTTGAAGACAGAGCAAGAAGAAACACATTTGCCATTGTTGTGGCTAGTAATCTTTTTTTTTAAATTGCTTACATGGCATTAGACAATGAAGTTCTCATAAAATTTGTCTGATTTAAAATTGTTTGATTTTTTTTGGTTAATGCTCAGGCTGCCATGCAGGCCCTACAACAGGAGGGTTTGGATGCAGGGGTGGTGAGACATGCCCACTTCATGGTAGCCCTGCAGGACACTGCCCCCTCTCTCCATGAAGAGGAACTGCAGCAGTATCAGGCTATCTTCTCCAAATAGTGTCTTATTTGTTGACATGTGGTCACAAACACTGTTTCAAGACATGATATCTTGTCAATATCAATTTGTCAATTATTTAATATAATAGATGATAATGATGATGATTGTAATATTGCAATACTGAAGGAATACTTACACTTGTCATGTTTACTTAGACTTACATGATTTCAGAAAACATTGTACCTTGTATTGCTTTCTTACAAAAGTGATTGTGTCAGATTACATACAAATGTAAATATTATACTTGATAGAGTTTTTTTAACAAGACATTATCAATGTTAAAATTCAACTTCCATGTGTCTTTTATCTTAACTTTAAGGTTTTTCATAATATCAATCTTATACCACATAGGCCAGTCATTAAGAGGAAAGACACTTTTATCCATTACGGAAGAATTTGAAATTTTTTCTTGACTCACAAATTAGTATATGCACCCTCCACCGTGGTAAACCATCATAACATTGTCTAATCTCTAAAACAAAAAGTCAAGTGTATTATCAAGCCATCAATGGCTTTATTCTCCGGTTCTGGTAATTTCTCCAAGACTTAAAGATCATTTTTCTTTTTGCCCTGACTTTGGCTATGCAAGAGGATCAAACAGCTTATAACGTTACACCAAAACAATTTTTTTTCTTCCTCATTCACCAAATGTTGACTTAAGTTTTACTTAATCCTTTTGGTCTTTTCGGGGTCTATACGTGTAATACTAAAAGTAACGTCTCATACTAGTATTGGTAAAGTAAGGGCAAAGTGCATTCATTGGCTATCGCATTGCGGTTCTCACACTCTTTCATAGGCGGCG